CCCCCCCCCCCCCCCCCCCTCCCCCCCCCCCCCCCCCCCCCCCCCACAATGTCTGCTTCTTTCTTAGAGAGTCTTTAAAGTCAGAAGCTTTTCAAAACATCTTGCAATCCCTCCCGGACCACATGCATCCTTCAAGGTTGCATGCATAACCTTTTATCCACAGTCACAGAATTGGGAGTTGATGCAGAATTCAGTACGGGGGGAAGCACAGCATTCCTTTAAGCAACAACACCACGAGCTTCCAGCCCTTAATGATAATTCTGAAAACTTGTGGCTGACCCTTAAAAAAAAAATCAGCAGTGAGGAAGAGATGCAGGCACCACAATATGGAAGCAGAAGCTGTGGGTGCTGGATATCCCAGGCTGGCAGGCAGAGAGTACGTGGTAACTTTCCCACTTAAGAATATTTGGGGCAGAAGAGCGGTCTGAGGTGAGGCAATGGGGTGCTTCTTCCGAAATGCACAGGCCTGGCCTCCTGCTGTGGGGGGTGGACCGTAGGCTGCAGAGCCGCCCAGCTCCTTGTCTTCTTCCAGTGCTCGCTTTCTCATTTGGGCACAAAGTTTCAGCTCCCCAAAACAGCAGCCCCAAACACCTGACAACAAACTCTGGGTGGGTAACAAACCATGGCTTGGTAGCACAGCTTGGTTCAGACAATACGCTAACCCATGTGTCAGCGACAGTCATGCTCAGCCCTTTGGAGTGGATTATCCCGCTGGCTGTGCACGGCTGGTCTCCTTGGGCAGGTGTGGACTGCTGGATCGGGGCTGGGTGTCAGGGGAAGGGGGCCTCAACTGTTGCTTCCCGAGTGGTCCTGCGGTCACGTCATGTACGTGTGAGAGAGTGGCAGGAGGACCTCGGCGATCCAAGCCCCAAAGTGGGCGAGGGGGGGGGGGGCAGCGCGCATCCCCTCTCCTCCAGCACAAGAATGTTTAGGGACATGCTGTGAAATCGGGGAGCCTGGAATTGGGGGGATAACTGGAATTTGCACAGCTGAGAATCTGGCCTGTTGCACGTTAAGACACGCGTGCAAAGGGCTGGCCTCCCTAGATGTCAGTGCCACAGAATACTCTCTGAAAATCAGGCCGTGACAGTTCGTCTCTGGGAACGCAGCCTTCCTAAGTAGCCATGCTCTCGCTTGCGTGACACCCTCACCCTGTCCCGAGCGTTAACCCCCGGGGGCCATTGCACTGCCTCTGCCGCAGGTGCAGCTTTTTAAAACCCCGGGGCTGCTCCTGCGCAAGCCGAGCCAGGGAGGAAGCAGGCAAGGCCCAGCATGGCTGTGCTGTGGCCCCTTTTCCTGCCTAAAATCAGACAGAATTGCATCCTCAGCACGCAAAGCTTCCAGCTGCTGCTGCTCACCTTCGTTCTGTAAATCGGAAGCGATGAATGCTCACCCGCGTGCCAGTTTATTCTGCACTGCTTGTCCAGCATTCCAGATACTGTCCCTCATCAGGGATCCCTAGAATGCATAACACAGAACATCTTGCACAAAATATGCCGTGCAATGCAAAAGCCATCGCTTAATCGACTCGACACATTCCCAAGTATATTGCAAGCAGCCGGCCCAAGGAAAAGAAAATTCCCCGGTGCATTTTCTTGTTCTGTCGTTATTTCCAGCATCCTGCACCCAACTTTTTCTTTCCCCAAGGCTGAATTTTAGCAAACAGTCCAAGACAGGGTCTGGGTGCCCACTGCAGGTCAACACGATGCGCTTTGTCCTACAGTAGCTTCCACAGTGACCCTGTGAGTTAGGCCTTGGTTCCCATTTTACAGGGAAGATGAAGACACGACAACTTTCCTACAGAGTCTAGGTTAGGACAACCCTTGGTATTCATTTGCCATGTTGGCTGGGGCGATGGAGGTTGTAATGCGCAACATCTGGCCATCCATAGGTCTGCCATGATTTGGATGGGATTGTAGGGAGACATTTCACATCGTTTCTAACTGGGGATGTAAGAGACCTAACCTCATGGCCCACAGACACCACGTCTTACCACTGGACAAGGATGGCAGAAAAAGCGGCTTTGCTGTTGCTTTGGGGGCAACACTGGCTCTTCCGTCCACTGTTTGGAGGGTGCAGAATTTGAGCAAATTTGTTTCTGTGTATTTGCACTCTTGAACCTACTCTGATTGGCTGAACAATTCACAAATTTCCCCCTAACATGCATTTTCTTAGGTTATGGGTGAGAGCTGCACAATTTGACAGTTTTTTAAAATCACACATATTTTTCTACAGCTTAATTTGCACCGGTTTCCAAGAGCTGTCCAGAACAGGATGTCTTGGAGGTGGAGGGCGTCCAGCCACAGGGTCATCATAAGCTGGAGAGGCTGTGATGGCACCTTATAACAAATATGCAAAACGAAGAAATTGGTCTGCAGGTTTCCCCAGTATCCCTACCAGTGAACTAGCTTTCCTTTGGTACTGGGGGGGAGGGGAGGTTGGGGCATCACCACCAAATTCCTCAATTCTTGACCACACAAGCAGCTGCACCGTTGCCAAGCATCTTACTGGGTCCTTATGCCTTTCGCATCAGCTTGATCTGCAGACATTCAAGAAGGCCCCGTTTTATTTCTATGTCACCACTGGGGGACTTCTCTGTTTCCAGATCCGTTTATGTGAGCAGGACCAGCATGTATTTTTTCTGGCCAGCTGGCCATCGTAGAAGGTAATGGGGGGCCAGCAACTGGACCCCAGATACTTGCCGGCACAGGTGATGGGAGCTGTAGGTCAAGGCCCTGGGGGGTGCCAGGTTGGTGCCGCGAGCCCTGTTGCTGGGCTGCAGAAGAGAAGGGCTAGCCTGTAGGTACGGCGCAGCCCCACCCCCAAGGTCGGTGTCTCCAGTCGCTGGCCATCGCATCCAGTCCGCATTTTAGTCCAGACGCTCAAGGAGCGACCCGGGTGCCAGAGCCCACCGCCAGACCAGCTCAGCGCTGCCGACGGCTCCTTGGCTGTTCAGCCTGAAATCCAGTGTGCGACCTTTCCAGCCCATAACCTGTTAATGGCAAGCGAAACTTTCTTCCAGAAGGACCAGGATGCCCTTTCCATGTTACTTGAAGTTCAAAACTGTGGAGACGTCACACCATTCTTGTCCCAGAGCACATATGGATCCCCTCAAATCAGGCCACTTTCCCCAGTGGAGGCCGATCGCGCCAACCCCAGTGGGGTGGTGCAGCCATCCTGGGGTTGAGTTGCAGCCCTTATCCATGATGCTGAACCACGGCCCCAAATGGAAGGGTTCAGGCTGAAGCCTGGAGTGGTTACACTGGCCCCTTGGCATCGGAGCCCTCGGTTTCCCTGGGGATTCTTGGCAAACCTCGCTTGGTTTTCTGTTGTTTGTTTCGGCTGTTGTATGGCTGTGTACATATTGTATTTAGAAATGGCATTCAGATGTGTACATAATGTAATATATGAATTCTAACCAGCAGTTCCTCCGCAATTACAGCTTTCCTGTTGGGGTGAGGGTTGTTTTGTTTTTTAGTGTTTTTACACGGACAAATGACCAATAAATTCGGTTGGTTTTCTTTTTCTTTTTCTCTCTTTGTGCAACTAGCCAGGAGAGGGTGGGGGCTGCCCTTAAGTTGGCGGGGCTCTTTCTCCATTGCAGCTTTTATTTTGAGCTTCTGCAGGGCTAGAGTGAGAGGAAGGGGTCCCAGCAAGTTGCACTGGGGAAGAGGAGGAGCAGCTCCAGGAGGGCTGCGGTCAGTGCGGTGTGAGGTCCTGGCATCTGTTCCACCGTACCGACCCTCGTCCTCTGCCCTGCTCACACCGTACACATGGCTGAAACCTCATGTGTCGCGACCCGATGCCAGAGGCCTCTCCATCCCCTGACACCGTCCTCCTTCAAGCACCCAAATGCCCCAAGACTGGCCAGAAAAAATGTTATTGTCCTACGATCTGATTTCTTATGTGTGGCAACTGTTCCTGTTGCAAGGAATGGGGCCTTCTGGGAAACACGGATTCAGCACGTGCTGCTGGCATCGTCATTTGCCAGGGTCGCTCTCAGTGTGGTGGGATGCATGCGCATTGGAAAGCAAAGTCCCATGGAGTTTGCCACCCGAACCTTGGACGTGTAAGGGATGAAATGAAATCCCAGCAGCGACGATACGGAGGCAAAATAACAAGCAGCCATAGTTTATGATGTTCTTGCAAGGGCGGGCACCCACCGCACAGGCAGCACACTGTTTCCACAATGGGCTTGCCTTGATTCCCTTTTCCCGGCTCGCAGACCCTGCCTCTTTCCTCCCACTGGCTGGGTTGCCAAGAGGTCACAATCTTTGCCGTCCGCCTACATCATCCCATTCCTTGATACGTTCCCCCTCCCGCTCATCCATCCCATGTTCATGCTAATGAGCCCATTACCTATGAGAGGGGTGTCCGTTATTCATGAACCTATTAAGCATGTGCACTGCTTTCTAAAAGTTCAACAGGTCGTCTTGGCCTTCTAGCCGCCTTGCTTGAGGCCCACTCATTTCCCAAACCTTGTGGGAGGCTGAGATCGGATGAACAGGCCTTCCTCCAAGCTCATTACGGCCAGTTGTAAGAAGCAATCGATTTCCTGCTCCCTTCCACAAAAGGTGGCAGTTTTACTGCTGCCCACAACCTCACCCCCTTGCGTTCCTCAGGACTTTGATGCAAGAAGCACTATTATTTCTGTTACAGCTCTCTGCAGCTTCTGTCCTCAGGCCCTTGGGCCTGAAGAGGTTTCCATGGTCTTACCCTAGCCCTCTATTTCATCCTCGCTTCGGTTTTCACCTTCCTACTTAGTAGCAGTAATTTTCCATTTCTCACAGACGTTCGGATTGGCTCTGGTTAGCTTTGGGCACGCAAGCATGGCAGGCCCAGCGGACGCTTCCGGAGCCGGGAATGTCCAGGGTGCTCGCTGCACGGACAAGGAAGAGCTGGGCGCGCAAGGGCAAACACGGCGTGAGGCGTGTCCCTAGGACCTCGCTGGACCCACGTGCCACATGCCCCTTCGGACAAGCGACTGGGGGCTGCGCTGCAGCAGCTGGCAGGCCGACCGCAAACCCCAGGAAGGGCTCAGCCCCAAAGGGGCAGCTTCACATCGTGGCAGCCACCTGTGTGTTTTAACTGACATCCCAGGCCCAGGAATTCAACCACAGGCGATGCATGTGCAGCTGGAGCCAGGAGCGAAAAGCTCCAACGTCACCCAACCATCAGCCATTGCAGGGAAGGGAGGAGGGAAGGCCGTCTGGCAGGCCTGAGCGGCCTGGATTCCACCTCCTCAAGGGCCAGACTTGGCCCCCGGGGGAGCCTGAGGCCCAGCCCATCTTCCATGCAGGTTTTTCAGAGTAGGCTGTTTCACCAGATCTGAAGCGTCGGCTGAAAGATGGGCCCTCGGGAGTGTGGTCAGGAAGAGCCCCCGCAAAAACCTCAGACAGGGACCTGCTGGCATCCCTCCCAGATCAAACAAGGCCATCTGCTGGAGCATTTTGGCCCGCGATGTGGGAAATGGCCCTGACACTTCTGGGCAGCAATTCTCCACTTTCTTTCTAACGAAAGGCCTTCATAGTGTCAGAGTCTCTTTACTAAGGGCGAGAACGGCTCACCAGGACCCGTAGGGAAGACGGAATCGCCACGAACCCCGGCGTTTCCATGGGTGAGATTGCCCAGGCCCCCAGCAGTGACTGACGGCAGCGTGCTCCCGGGTAGTGGCCTCCACAGCCAAGGACAAGCTTTCAGAACATGCACAGAGTGTTTTATAGATTCTGAGTCACATGGCCCAGCAGAAGGGCAGCGGATGACGAAATAAGGGGAAGGCAGTCGGAGGAAGGGGAAAGGTGGGCATGGTGCACAGCACTTGATTGCAGGAGATTAACACGACCATCACTGAGGCACAGGGGTTCTTGTGGGTCTTGGCAAGCAAACGAGGCTGATTGCAGTGCTGTGAACCTGGCAGCTTCATCAGCCCTGGCAGCTTCAGGGAGGCCATCAAGCCCCACTTCTTAAAGTGGCAGCAAATGCCAAACAGTGACCTGGCTTGGCATTTTTGGCTGCTTCCTGAGACAGGGGCTCAGGCATTTTATAACACAAAGACATATAAGCTGCCCTTTTCTGCCAGGGTTTCCCTGAATTTTCCCAGCGACAGATACCAGGAGGAGGAGGAGGAGGAAACAAAAGAAAGGTGGCAACCTTTCACACGCCCCGCAAAACCCCGGAGCGCTTTCACGACCGCAAAACTGCGCCCGCACACATTCCGCAGCCCCGGGCAGGTGGGAAGAGCCACCGGGGGGCGGGGCGCCCGGCCGGGCCGGGCCGAGGCGCGGGGGGGGCGCGGGGGGGCGGGCACGGAGGCGCTCGCTCGTGGGCCGCCCCCGCCCAGCCTGCATTTCCTCCTGCGAGCGGCGGCGGGGCCCGGCCCGGCCCGGCCCGGCTTGGACGGCGGGAGGAGCAGGCGGCGCTCGGCTTCCTGTTTTGCGCCGCTCCGAGCGCGGTCGGCGGCTGCGGGGATCGCCCTCTCGGCGGACCATGGGCTACCGGGAGCTGGTCCGGCTCTGGAATGAAGGTGTCCTGGCCCTGGAGAAGGGGGACCGGGCGGCCGCCTTACGCCTCTTCCGCGGCATCGCCGGCCCGACCTCCAAGATCCATTTCAACATCGGCTCGGTGCTTCTCCTCCAAGGGGACCTGGACCGAGCTTTGGAGGTGAGTGAGAAGCCTCATTCCACTCCTCGCCGCTCCGAAGCCAGGATTTCGCTGGATGTGTATCGCACCTTTTCCCCCTGGGTGGCCTGTGTGCGCCCTGCCTCCCCATTCTAACCTCACAGCAACCCTGCAAGGTGGGCAGGCTGAGAATCGGGGACTGGCCCGAAGTCACTCAATGGGCTTCAAGGACACGCCGGGACAAGCAGCCGGGCCTCTGAGCCGCAAGCCACCACCCCAGGCCTACACCGCACCTGCACTCACCTCTCACACATTTTCCCTCGGCCAAATGTACACATAACAAAGAGTTACGGCGCTCCCGCCCCCTGCTTTCCAAGGCTCCTTCCTGATTACCTGACATATTTTCAGATCAGTGACTGTAGCATTCCCAGGTATGCACTTCCTTTGCTTTTGAATTCAGGTAAGCTTTGAACCAGCTAGTGAAAGAAAAGAGAGGCGTGCCTAAAGCAAAAATTTGGGAAGAGGAACCTGCAGTCCTGGGCTGGGCTCCCCCAGGAATGTCCACACCAACTTCTCCCGCTCCTCTCCATCGTTACTACAACTTCCCTGGGGGGCAGAAGCCAGGAACCGGGGGTCGTGGCATCGATGCCTGGGCCAGAGCGAGGGGCCTTGGGGGACGAACAGGCTGGAACAGGGGGGGGGGGATGCACGTGGCCGGGCGCTCCGCTCAGCAGGCCTGACCGGGGGGGGCCCGTACCCCCTTGGCATGGGCCCTCTCGGGCTGGCCGAAGGGCAGGTGAGGCCTGCTAGGTCCTCACCAGCGTGAGGTGAAGGAGGTTGGGTGCCGCCGAGTCCCGCGGAGACCGCTGCGAACAGCTTGGGCACGCTGAGGCACTGCATCCTCCAGGCCCGCAGCAGGAATCCGGTTGACGGAAGGGTCTCGCGAGCAGGTGCTCACCGAGACCACCTCCCCCACTCGGCCCCTCGCTCACTCAGCAGCCGCAGCGACTCCTGCCTTCCTTCTCGCCGCCCCCAACACCTGGCCAAAGCGACAGGAAGCAGGGAACGTGTGGGCCACCAAGGGAGCATCCAGGAGCCCCCGCCGGGGTGCAGGCCGTGGCGGGGGCCCCCCGAGGGCCTCAAAACCCCAGGGCAGCCCTGGCGGCCATGCTGTGGGGAGGAGGCCGGGTGAGGCAGGGTGGCCACCTTCTTCCGCCCACAAGCCGCCCAGCGTGTGGCCCAGCCAAACCAGCGAGGCCCCCCGAGCTTGTCCTCGGCCCGATTCCTTCCTTGCGAGCGAACGGAACAGAGCCAGCCGTCCCCGGCCTCAGCGGCTGCCCTTCTTCTGCCTGCAGGCATTTGACCAGGCCGTTTGCAAAGACAGCTGCCTGGCCGTGGGGTTCTTCCAGAGAGGGTACGTCTGCCTGCGGCTGGAAAGGTGAGTGCCGCCCCTCCTGCTCAGGGCATAGAAACATAGAAGCAGAGCAAGTCAGAAGGGGTCTCCCAGGCCATCTAGGGGTTCCCTGAGCTTGGCTCCGTTGGAGCAAGTCCTGCCTTCCTCTGCAGGGGAGGACAGGTCTCTACTCACCTCCGTGTGATACCCCCTCATACCTGTATGTTGCCAACAGATCCCCTCTGAGTCTTCCCTCGGTCTCGCCTCATACGGCATCCCCTGCAAACCGGCCACCAACCTTGTGGCCCTACACTGCACTGACTCCAACCTGGCTATATCCTTCCTGTAATGAGGGGCCCAAAACTGAGCACAATACTCCAGTTGCAGGCGCACTAGAGTCGTGTAGAGTGGTAGTAATACCTCTCTCGATCTGGAAGCCACACTTCTGGCTATGCTATCAAGGGTGGCATTCGCCCTCTTGACCACCGCATCACACTGCTGGCTCATGTTTAGCCTGCAGTCAACCAGCACCCCAAGGTCCCTTTCACAAGCGCTGCTCTCCAGCCACTTGTCCCCTAACCTGTACTTATGACGCTTATTCCTATGCCCCAAGTGCAAGACCTTGCACTTATCCACATTGAACGCCATCCTGTTGTCTCCTGCCCACTTCCATAGTCTGTCCAGATCCTTTTGGAGCCGGAGTACCTGCTCCTCAGTTGTGGCCGCTGCCCCCATTTTAGTATCGTCTGCGACTTTGATCAGCAGACTGTTCACCCCTTCTTCCATGTCATGGATGAAAAGATTAAGCAGGAGTGTAACAAGCCGCACGGGATCCAGGCAGGGCAGGCGTCCACCCTGACCGGCAGCCCGTTCACACAACCGGCTGCCAATGGGAAGCCCAGAACTGGGCATAGTGAGGGCTGCGGAGGGAGGCATCCCATTCCAAAGGGGCAGCCTTTCCTGGTGGGCGGAGCCAGGAGCCAAGGGGCGGGGCCAAGAACAAACCATGCCCTCCCGTTTCAGCGGAATCCTGGTCCCTCGGCTTCTGCTCCAGCCCGACAGCAGGCGTGCCAAGCCTCTGGCCCGGGCCAAATCCAGGAGTCCCGGAGCAGCGCGTGCCCCTTTCCCTCCATTCCCAGTCTTAGCCGCTTGCCATTTTCCCCTGAAACACGTTGCCTGAGCTTCAGGTACTGGGAGGAAACTTTCAAGCTTGCCCTCTGGTACTTTTGGCATCTCAACCCCTCCCGCCACGTGCCGAAAACCCTCCTAAGCCCAGACTTCATTATATTCTGTGATGATCAGAGGACACGTTTACCTGCCCGTCCCTGGAACCTGAACACCTGGGGCTTGGCATACATCAGAACCAAGCCCTAGAAGTTTGCACCTTGGGGGGATTTGGTTTTCAAGCATATTGGCTCATTTATATTAATTAATTTTAATTAACGTAAATCTTTATTTCTGTTTGAGGACTATGCTATCACTTTCTGTCAATAGATGTCAGGCTTCTATGAGCAGGGCGTTGCTTTTTTGGACCCTCTGTGTATGTAAATAGATGCAAATAAAAGGTAATAGATGCGAAGACATGTGAGTAAAAGATGGCGTATCGTCCCCATGACACCGAGTCTGTGAAGTCCAGACTCCTGAAGCTTAGCAGCCCCACTAAGGAGACCAAGTCCCTACGGAGGTGCGCTCTGGGGCCATTTTGCTTCAAAACCATTATTGATCTGAGTGCAATTGTGCCGCTGAAGCTTGCACTGACATCTTCAGTCACAAGGTGGCAGCCCAACCAGCTCCTGGTGTTGCAGGCCAAGCAGGTGAAGACATGGCAGGTTAAGAGGCTGGAGGACAGGTTCTTTGCAGCTCCTCGACCCCCTGCACTGGTCACCCCTCCCCCAGGAATGGAGAGGACGGTCCTCTCATTCTGGGGACGACAAGGCCTCTGCCTCTTGCTTCCAGTCATCATGGCTTCCTCCTTATGGGACGGGCACAATGCACCCAGCGGTGGAGGCTGCATGGCTGCTTGAAGGCCTCGCTGTATCAGCTGAGAGGGGTTCCAACCCGTGCGAAGCCGGCTCTGTGTACGAGTGAAGCAAAAATGCGCACCACTTCTCAGACTGGCTTCCTTCCCCGCTCTTCCCACGGCAGGTATGAAGATGCCCTGAACGACTTCCAGTCAGCATGGATGCACCTCCGGAAGAACATGTGCATTGATTACAAGCAACTGGGTCTCAAGTTCGTGTTGTTTGCCTGGGAGGTAAGGGTGTGCTCGAGGCAGCTGCAGAACCGAAGCTGCCGTCCGGCTGGCGTGGCTGGCACTTGGCCACCGTGCCCCCTCCCTACGGCCCCCGTCTAGGAGGGCTCCCTCGTAGGAGCTCCTGAGAAGTCAGCACTGTGGCCTTTTTCTCCCAGGGCGAGTCAAAATTGTGCTTGTGTGTGTGTGCGCGCACAGACGATAGACTTCACGCAGCTCTAGCCGGGGTGGGGAACCAGGCGGCCGAATGTGGCTTTTCGGCAGCCCACTCCGCTGGTCCCACGGCCAAATTCGCAGCTCAGCGATGCGGGAAAAGGGCCGCTCCCAGCTGAACCGTTCCTGGGAATACCGTGAGAAAAGCCAGGAGGGGCTGCGCAAGTGAGGGTGCCACGTTGGAGAGCCCACGGAGACCCCGCAGAGCAGCCAAGCCTTTGGAGGATGCACACCGTCCGCCCGGACTCTTCTGCGCTTGAAATGCCGGGCGGGAGAGCCAGGGCCACTGTGCTTCCGCGGAGCTGCTTTCCCTGCTCCTCTCCGCCAAAAATTCCGGTGGGACCTCCAGCACGTGCCCTCTGGTCTTTGCCGCAGGTGCTACACAACATGGCTGCCGCCCACTGCTGGCTCGGGAGGTGGCAGGATGCCCGGCGGGTGCTGGAGGAAGCTGGCAGCAGCTCCCTCAAGGGCCCGAGGGCCCAGCTGAGGACTGCTCTGGAGCAGGTGCAGGTAAGCCGGGCAGTGAGGCTCGGGCAATGGAGGGGCCCTTGCTTCTGCCTGTGCGGGACGGCGTGGCTCTTCCCCTCGTCCCTCTCCACCCCGTCCCGCGCACGCCGTGCCTTCGCTGCAGGCCTGAGCACAGAGGCCGCGTTGCCTCACTGTGCAGATTTAAGACACTTTGGTTTTTGTTTGCTGAGGGATGGGATTTCTAAATAAATAAACAAGCAGAGTTCAGATAAATAAATACATAAATGAGAGCCTGTGCAATGTGGCGGTTAAGAACGTGTGAGTGGGACTCAGGCAACCAGGGTTCGAGTCCCCACTCAGCCACGGAGCCAACTGGGCAACTCTGGACCAGTCATAGACTCCCAGGCCAGCCTACCTCACAGGGTTGTCGTGGTCAAGATAAAATTGAGAGAAGGATGTAACCCGCTTTGAGTTCTTTGTAATAAAAAAGGTGGGATATAAAGCTAATAAATAAATCCTACCTTAGGATCATCTCTTCCTGGAACCCCGAAGCGTCCCTCTGGGAGAGGTTTTCAGACCTCCAGCAAAGGATGTGGATGAGCTGGAAGAAAAGGATTTTCTGGGCCAGCCCAAGGTAGGCCCTGCAATTCCATGGCTAAAGAGGGGCAATGTTATTGTATGTCATGAGCCTAGTCCTCACTGAGGTGGTCAACCCACTTCTAGGCTGTGCATCTTTAAATTCCAAACTGAGTTGGAGGGGTGGAGAAAAAATGACAGAAAAACCCAAAATGGGTCCCTCCATGTGGAAACCTGTAATGTCACACGCAAGAGATCTAAACTCCTCTTTTCCTTGATAAGCTAATTGTCTGTGTGCAGGGAGGGGATTCTCAGTGAGGGCTGAATGCCGTTCTGAGAAACTGCGAGGCCAAAGGCAAAAGGGGCAGTGACAAGCTACTCTAGACCCTGGCGTGTTTCCGTAAAGCTTTTCCTGCTGGCGCTTCAGCCTTGGGGGAGCCATGTCAGCCTTCTAGGATGGGGGGGGGGAGGCTGCAAGGCCCTCCAAGGAGCCGCAGGTGGAGGAGGGGCAGGGCCTGCGGGGGACCCTCCAAAGTCTGCACATGCCCTTGGGCCGCAGGTGTGGCAGGCCTGCTTCACACTCCATCCATGAAGAGTGTGTGCCTGGAACAGCATCTGCTTCCCGTCTCAGGTGATCTCCTCCGCTTTTGAAGAGCACAGTTTGAACGCCTTTCGTGGTCTGCAGCCACGGGTAAGGAGGGGAAGCGGGGCTGTCACGGGGCGGGATGAGTGCGTGGGCTGCTGCCGCAGGGGCATCCCTTGCCGGCCTCGCTCCGTGGCTGGGCTGCTCTGCCTTCACAGGCGTGTAGGAGCGGGCGTTTCTTTTCCAGAGCCTCGGCACAGAAATGCCTCCTCCTCCCCTGCTCACTTTGCCCAGGCTCCTCTCTGACTTCCCGGGACAGGGCAGCCCCTTGAAAGCAGCTCAGTTCAGCCAGTGAAACATAATCAAACCGGGGCAGAAACAGCACCCCCCCCCCCCCCGGGCTGGGAGCTGCAGAAGAAACTGCTCTGAAGCCATGGCTACAGAGGTCGCGGAAAAGCTGGCGGCTTGCCTCTTCTGCACTGTTTCCTTTGGCCGGCTCTTTCCCCGAGGCAAGCTTATCTTCCTCGCCACATCCCCCTTGCTTTCACTCCGGGGGAGTATCTTTTTGGCCAGCGATTTGGAATAATGGAGTGTTTCCTTCTTCTTTCAAAAGATTAGGAATGGGGGCCCCCCACCGCCTGGAAAAGCTCCCCCCAGCTGGGTCCACGGGACACCAAAGTTACTTGAATCGAGTCAGCCACAAGGTAGGTATTTGTGAGGGTGTGATGGAGCAAGAAAGATTTCAGGATGGAAAGACTTCGTAGGATGTAAAGACTTCGTTTGAATTAAAGCTCAAAGAGGCAATGAACCCAGGTTCCTCTTTTTAGTACCAGTTTCTCCACATGAAATACACAAATCTATGAATAATTGGCATCAAAGTTGCTTCTGAGCACAGCCAGAGTGCATGCCTTCACCTTCATGCTTAGTCATGAGAAAAGGTCCCACATGTTTGAACCAAAGTGGTGCTGGCAGGGATCTTAAACGTTTGGGCATTCGTGAGCATCTCTGAAACTCTGAGCACGCAGGCGCTCGCACAAAATGGCTGCCACAGTGGGTGTGGCCAAGCACAAGGCACCGCATTCCCAAAAGCTCCGCAGCAGCGCGTGCCTCAGCCTCTTCCCCCGTGTAGCGCCGGCTGAGTCCCGGCGTCTCAGCCGCCCTTCGGAAGGGGGGCATGGTGGCCGTTGTGGTGCTTTCCGTGCCACCCGGACACCGTGCTGGGGCTGCTGGGAAGGGACCGATCCTGTCGGTGCCACTCAGCAGAAAGGCACGCTCGAGGGGCAGCGGCATGAAGGGGTCGACGCGCTTTGCTTTGCAGGCCAGCCAGAGCCGCAGGTGTGCAGGGCAGCCGACGCTAATCCCGAGCGCGACCTTGCGGTAAGACTCCCCCACCCTTGCCGAGGGGCCACCCTCCCGCAATGCCCCGAGCCGGGGGGGCGGCTGAGCTGTGGGCGCTGGGTGGCGTGGCCTGATCTTGCTAGCTGGGGGGCAGCTCACAGGCCAACGGCCACCCGGGATCCTCTCACCTCCGCCGGCGCTTGCCGGATCGCACACGCCGAGCCCGTGGTCTCTGCGCTCCCACTGCGAGGCTGCGGTGCGCTTCGGAGCGCTCTGGCGCCCGGGTTCACGCCGGCCGGCTCGCTTCCCATCTCTCCAGCAGGCCTGCTCGGCACGGGCGGGAACGGCATTCGCCGGCACGAGGCCGGTGCTGCTGAAGCTGCACGCGACCTACGCCGTCAGGGTGGAGGCGGGCGTCCCGCCGACCCTCGCCGGCCTCCGCCTTCTGCTGCAGGAGGAGTGCCAGCGGCAGGCTGCCCGGATGACGCTGAGGTCGGTCCTGCGAGCCCGCGAGGCGGCCACCCCCCCTCCGATACCCTGATCCTGGGGGCCGGGTTCCCGGGGGGGGGGCCTCCGCCGCCTTGCCTTTCCCACCTGAACAAGGAGCCTTGCCTTCCTCTTGGCCCGATCGTACACTCAGAGTTCCAGCCGTGTCCCAACCCGCTGCAGGTACCAGCTTCCAGAGAGCGACGAGCTGGCCCCGATTCACAATGATGAGGACCTCTGGACCGCGTGGGAAGGGGCGCAAGGTGACCAGCTGGACCTCTGGGCTCATGTGCGTACCTGGCAGAATGGGGCCTCTTCCTTTTGCCATCCTGGCCCAACCCGGCCAGGCGAGGAGGCGGGAGTGGCTGGTGCATTGCCGGGAAGAGCTCTGCTTGCCCCGTTTCTCTCCGGCCCGGTGCCTGAAGAGCTCAGGGCGCCTTGCGGCGACTGCACACTGGGGTGCTGGCGCCGGAATGGCCTGGCGCTCCGATTCGCGGGCCAGGAAGTTGCCCAGGGAAATTCCTGCGCGTTCTGAAGCGTCTCTCTCTGCAGTGAACGTAGCCCAACACGGCCTCAGATGTAGCCCCGCGAGCTACGGCAGAGTGGCCCCCCGAGGCCTTTCCGGCTCAGCCTACCCCGGGGTGCAGCCCCGTGCTCGGCCCTCGGCTCTGATGGGGGAGCGGAGCAGAGACGCCCCTGGTGGGTGGGACCGAACACAGCAGGCGCACGGCGGATCGGGGCGTGCTTCAGATTGAGACTCTCGTGGCTTAACTACGCCTTAAGAGACAAGGATTTCAGCTTTTAGGGATGGGGAAAACCTGCAAATCAGCCCAAGCAATCAGAGTTTGGGGAAAGGGAGGGGAAGGAGTGAGGAGGCAGCTGTGACTACCCGAAAAAGCTTGCAGGACTGGGTCTCGGCTTTGCCTCCTCGTTTTGCCCTCTCCTTTCCAGCCAAGACGGTTCCCCAAAGTGGCTTAGGAAAAGGGGCGGTACGTGGATGATATCTGGGGGAGCTGAGGGCAGCTTTTTTGAGCTCCTGCTATGCAAGCTCCTTACCCAGAAAGGACGAAACTGCAGTTCCCTTCAAGCAGAAGACTAGCACCACAGGGAGAGGGACTTGATATCCTGCTAGCTTTCTACTTGCAGGGAGATTCCGTTTACTTAGGCCATAACATTCCACAAGGGCATCCTCTGGGTGCAGTCCAAAGTCCCTCTGCCAGCGCAGGACCCATGTGCCGCCCCATCCCATTGCCTGTTCCGGTTCAACCCTGTTTTGTGCATTTTGAAGGGTAAAGAAGACCGCCTGGACAGGCCCGTGCTGTACCACATGGTGGCATGTCATTCCTACGCCGGCCAGGCGCAAGAGGACCTGAATTTTACGGAAGGCGACACTCTGGAGGTTCTTGCTGAAGGTGACGGGGCAGGGAACCCGGAGCAGGGCTGCAGGGCATGGAAGGGCACCTGGGAGCGGTTCCTTAGGGTGCTCTCTGGCTACTGCGGAAGGGTTGGAAATCAATCAATTAATTGATTAATATGCCACTTTTTCTTATAACAAACTTATTGCCGCCGCCGCCGCCTCCTCCTCTCACTCGTATGCCCACAGCGACCCTGTGAGATAGGCTAGGCTGAGAGGCTGCGTTGGCCCAGCCACCTGGTCGCTTCGCTGGCTGGGTGGGGCTTGAACCCGCGGCGCCTGAGTCCCAGCCCTGCGCGCAGTGGTCAAAGGGCCACGAGAGCAAACGGGCCGCGGGGCCGGCCCCCGGGGACGCTCCTCGGCACGCAGGGCCTGGGGCCGGGCCTGGCCTGGGAGAACTCTGGAGCTTGTTCCGGCTCTGGCCATCGGAACGGCCCAGATCCCGGCTGCCTGCAGGGGCCGAAGGCACTTCCCTGCCGGATTCCCTATGCCGCTGTCCCACACCCATCCCCGCACCCTGTCCCAAACCTTAACCCCCGGGGGCCATTGCACTGCCTCTGCCGCAGGTGCAGCTTTTTAAAACCCCGGGGCTGCTCCTGCGCAAGCCGAGCCAGGGAGGAAGCAGGCAAGGCCCAGCATGGCTGTGCTGTGGCCCCTTTTCCTGCCTAAAATCAGACAGAATCGCATCCTCAGCACGCAAAGCTTCCAGCTGCCGCCGCCGCCATCCACGTTCCACAAAGCTCGCTCGAGCGCCTGTTTGTTCTGTTGCCCCGGCCGGCTCAGCTGCCCCCAGGGGTGGGGCCGGTCCCGTGGCTCCCCCCTGGCATCCCACCGCCCTCGCCTCGCTTCCCGTCAGTCGTGGCTCCTCCTCACCCCGCCCCGCTTGTCTTCCCGCAGTGAACGAGGAATGGCTGGAAGGACGCTGCCAGGGGGCCGTTGGCATCTTCCCAAAGTGCTTTGCGGTGCGGAAGGATGTGGAGGTGGCCTGCCTGTAGTGGAGAAGAGGCGCCTTTGCTCACGGAGCTCTGCCCGGCTCTGTCACCTTCCAGGTGCTCCTCTGCCTCGAACAGTTTTCCTTTTCCCGCAGGGAGCGGCTTGCTCCATCCTCCAGCGCCAGCGTTCTTTGGGTTCAGAGGGGAGTTCTGTGTTTCTGGGGGGGGGGGCAAGGTTGCTTTCAGCGCCTGCCCGCCCCCTCCGATGGCCCTGTCCTTTCTCAGCTTCGCTGCAGTCCTCGCAGGGGCTGGCGGAAGAGTAACGTTCCCGGCAGCAATCGGTCGTTCCCTGCAAGTATCCTGGGGCGGATTTGGGACGCGACTGCATTTATTCTGCGCCCTGTTTCCTCTTGTGAGGCCTGGGGGGCGTCGTTCGGGGGGGACTGCTGTGATGAGCACCTGCCCTTCGAGGCGGGCCGCATTGCCAGGACCCTTGGCCGGTCGTGTTGCCAAGGCCTCTCATCCCTCTGAGGAAATCCCACCCTTCGCTGCAGTCCGTATGTTTACATCTCTGTTGACAGAAGGAGGCCATGAACTAGGTGGTGCCGGCTCTTTCCTGCAGGAAAAGGACATGTGCCAGGAAAAACATGGATTTTACAGCTTTGTGTGAAAAAAAACATGCGAAACAGCCGCGCATTGCAAAATGTCCCTTGTGTGTGCTTGTTATCGCTCTGCGTTTATGGCCTGGCTCCTGGGAACAGCTTTATCAACCGTGATGCATCTGGCTAATTTTAAGTCCCTAATTAATGGCTTTACCAGGCATGCGCCTGTGAGTGGCTTCGCTTGTGAAGCCCCTGGCGGCCGTTCCCCTTGCGCCGTGCAGCAGGCACTCCCAGCGCTTCGGCATGCCTGATCCCCGGCGGCAGAAGGTCAGCGAATGTTTGGCAAGCCTCGGCGCTCTGGACTCACCTCGCAGGTATGCAGTGCCACATACCTGTGCTCCCTTCCCCCACAGTGTCCCGGAGAAGCCACACAAGCAGCGGTGTGAGCAGCTGTAGGTAGAGGCGGCCTTTCTCTTTCTCGCACTCTGCATTTTGGGTGGCATCAAGGCCGCGCCACCCACCACTTTACCAGGCGGGCCGCTTCTTGGCGGGATTAAGATCGGCTGCTCTGCAGTGTTTCCCGCAACGTTTTTCCTGTGCGCTCCACCGCACAACCACAAGGTGGCGCAGCGCTGAATGCAACTGAATGCGTGCGTTTGCTTTAGCACGATTTAGTGGGATAGCCAGAAAAACGGCTCATTTTTCTTACTTAAAAAAGAAAGAGCAGCATGGAAATGCTCTGAAGGCACAGGAGTGGCCTGGAAGGAGGAAGGCTTTTGCGTAAAGCACCTATTTACCGTGACAGTGAAGGACCCACCAAGGCGCAATAAATGCTTCTGAATTATACTGGGGTAACTAGTGATGGAAAGCTGATGTTCTGATTTTCTTAAATAAAGGTGTGAGTGCTTCCAGTTGTCTTGCGAAAGCCAGCCGGACTGCCCAGTGGGGTATCCTGTTCCCCATTGCTCTTTGTTTTGAAATTAAATGGAACCAACTAGCCAGCAAGATTTCAACTTTATTTTTAATCCGTTGCCCTTGAGCACTCGCTACATTGGCAGCCAAATTCTGCACTAAACGGAGATCCACAGCAAGCCGCTTGTGGTGCATCCTCTCTCTCTCTCTCTAATTTGAGAAAAGTCTAATATCATCATCATCTAAAATAGCCAGTGGTTTGAAAAATCAACCAACCCTGGAACAAAATTCCACATGGGATGCAGATCAGCTCTCAAGATGAGGCAGAAGATTGCAGGCGAGGCCAGTGCCAAGGGAAGGCACGGCTGGGCAAGGGCCAAGGCCCACCGACCGGGTCCTGGAATGGTTTTTCTGCTCTGTGCAGGCAACTGGCTTGTTCGCCACCTCCCTCTGTAGGCCAGACAATGCAGGTGCTGAGATGGGGAAGTGCGAAACGCCACAGCGCGCATTCTCCTCACCACTTGGCTGCCACTGAGCACATGGTGGGGAGGAGGAGGAGGAGGAGGAGAGCAGTGGCCACCACAGCAGTGAGGTGGGCCACTAAGTAACTTGCCCAAGGGCAAGTGCATCTGAAGTTTATATGAGAATTATGGGTGAGGGATGTATATCAAAACCTGTACTGAAGAAGCTTATGAGTAGCTAGGTTTGCCTACAGAATGCTCCCAAGAGATTCTGGACCCAAGGCTCCATTTGGGTGCCAGGAGGCACTTCCTGACAGTCGGGACCCCGAGGGTGTGGAATGGGCTTCCCCGGGAGGAGGTGGAGGCCCCACCGGAGCGGGTGTTCAAGGATAGGCTGGACGTCCACATGGTGGGCATGTCATGAGCAGAGCTGGGGGTCAGACTAGATGGCCCGGGGACAGTTCTGGCTCGCCCTGTTTCTATGTAACGAGAGCAGCCTCCCCCTCCTGTATGCAAGTGCTAAGAGGGCAGGGGCTTTATCTTTCTTCAGCCCTGACGGTGGGGCAGCTGCTTCCACCACTCCTGAAGGCAAGAGGCCCAGCACCCTCCACAGGAAAAGCTGTCCTGGATCTTTGAAACGGCCTCCAAACGGAGCGAGCGCCCCTTTCTGTGTCAACGGGGCCTCGAGTGGTCCTGCCCCTTCCCACCTGTGTTCCTGAAATTACTGATGCCGAAGCTGACCATTCCAGCAAGATGGAAGCATCATTAACAAGGCAAGCGGATGGGAATTTTCCCGATGAGGCAGCTTTCCAGGTGTTTGGCAGGTGGTGGTGTATATCATGCCGACATCTCTTTGTGTGGAAAAGGGGTGGCACAACAGAAAGCAGCCGGCCGATGTCGTCCAGACCCAAGAACCAACTCCTATTCCACCTGCGTTTCTCAGAGGGTCTGGACATTATTCCCGAAGTCAGTGTACACTAGTGCAAGTGTTATTTAGTGCAAAGCAAAGGAGTGTGAATCCCCCCAAGAGTGAAATGGTGCTTTGGAAAGCCTCATGGCTGAGGACAACCAGTCCCCTGCATCCGCAACAGGTCCGGGTCACAGAACTCCAAACTCATCGGAGTGTCTTTCAGGTTGCTCCAACATCCCTAAACAGACTGCTAAGCTGCTGTCGTGGCAGCCGTCCTGGCCACGCAGAGACCACGAGGAAATGTTTTCCAAACATCACATGAAAATCTGAGAGGCCGTGCAGGGAGACTGAGCGGCAAATGTCGTGTCCGTGTGACCGTTGCCAGCTTTTCTTGGAGGATGTCTGCCAGCTCAGGAAAGCTGCGCAGGTGGGAAAGCAGCGGCATCGAGGCACCTGCCGAGAGAGCACGGCAGGGCAGGTTCAGTTGCTCCACATCCCCCGGGCTGGGCGGGGGTCAGCTGAAGTTTTGACTGACGGGTCCCAGCAGGCGAGGGCTGGACCTGCTACGTCCAGCGATCCTTCCGACTACCTTTCACGGTAGGTCAGCATTACTGGCCCAGGTGTGCAGGTGGGCAACCGAGGCAGACAGAGAGAGAGCGGTTCTCTGAGAGAGAGGGCAAAAGGGGGGGGTGATAAAGTGCCTGCTGAGAAAGGCGAATGTGAGTAGGAGAAGCAGCGACATCCAGTCCGTTTGGCCGGGCGCCCCCACGGGAGGACGGCACTCCGCTTTCTGCGGCGAGGGCTGGCGGGCTGGGGGTGCAGAGCCACTGCCCCACCGTGCCCTGGGTTGCCCCGGGACGCTCGCCGTGCTGGTCCTGCCAGGTCCCCAAGCGCCCGTCTCACCGCAGGGCCTGCAGCAGCAGGAGAACCAGGCACAGCACCAGCGTGGCCGCGATGAAGACGACGCTGGCCACCCACACGGGCTCCTCGTGCCCTTTCAGCTGCCGGGGGGCCTCGGGGGGGATCATGTTGGTGAGGTTCAGCATGTAGCCGAGCGTCCAGCCGATGTCCGAGTTGGTGGCCTGCAGAGGGAGAGAGCGACACGCTGCGAGGGAGGCCGGCACGGAGGTGGCTCCTCGCACCCTTGGATCCGCCTGCCCCACGAGCCGGCTCAGCACGGGCCTGCTCTTGATGGCATCCCATCAGCCCCTTTCTCTGGGGAAAGAAGTCACAAATGCATGTATTTATGGAAACAATGTAAAAAATGCTTTCTGTTCCAGAAATGGCATGCCCTTTGCTTGGTGGAAAATAAATACACTTTCAATACATGCATGCATGCATGCACACATGAATGAATGAATCGGATTGTTTCCAAAAGTAGCTACCCTAAATAAAAATGCTTGGGTTAGAAGAATTGCACAAGAACGCACACTTTCCCCAGCAAACTTAATCTTTAAAATTCTGGGCAAACTAAACTGAAGTCTGGGAAAAATAAGAATCAAAGCAACCATCCCTCTTGTCATCCGGGGATGCTGGAATTCCAGCGGCATCCACACCTGCATCTGGAAGGCGATGTTTCCCCAGGTGTCCGCGCTGAAGCCATAACCATCGAGCAGGAGGGTAAGAATATAGTTTGCGCTAGCACAGTAGTTTTTCAGGTGCTCCTCCTTCTCCCGAGGGTAGCTGGACTTCACCTGGGGTGAAGGGAAGCACAGGTGAAGACAGACAGAGCGGCGCTGCAGGACAGAGAGTCAGTTTTCCGTGCAACAGAACATGCAGCGGGCGAGTGCCGTCCCTCGAGGGGCCGAGGGCCCCTTTTGCGCTGGTGCAGAAAAGAGGAGCTGCGGAGCGCCAGCCACAGCCTGGCAGAGCCCCGTCCCCCCCACCAGCCTCCCTCGACTTGGGGCCCACCATGTGCTTCGTACTACCTTCCCCATCATTTCCAGCTGCCATCCAACACACCTGGAAGGTGCTGGGTTGAGGGGCTACGGAAGGCCTGGGCAGCCCAATCTGCCACCGCCATTTTTCCCCTTTGTCCACTCGAAAACTGTACACATGTTGCTGGTGAGCCTGCTGGGAAAGTGGGGGGGGGCTGCGAGGCGGGATCGGCAGTACGTGCCCCAGAAGAAAGGAGAAGCTGCAAGGGAGGCTGGCGGACCCTGCTGCGCACCCGCGGCAGGCTGGCCTGGGCCTCACAGACGCGGTTGCTCCTTCCGCCGGCCCGAGCCTCGGCTGCAGACCCGAGTGAGACACGCGGCACGCATCTGGAGCCCCGCAGCCTCGGGGCCGACCTCCTTGCGCCAACGGGCTCGATCCCACCTGCGCGCAAAGAGGTCTCCTCTAGCCCTGTGCAGTGGCCCCCTCTAGCCACGCGTGCGACAGGGCCCCCCGGCCCAGCTTCCCCAGCAATGGAGGCTGAGCAGGTGTCTGGTGCTGGGGATAGCGAATAACCATCAGGACTAGCAACATCCGCAGCCTCTCCCTCCGTGGATCTGTCTGATGCCCATTTAAACTCATCAACATTCCGGTTTCTGGGCAGGCCCCAGGTCTGAGGAGTTGAAGTCCATACCCTCGTCCTCAGCCTGCACAAGGGCAGGGGCGTACCTAGGCAAAAGATCGTTTGCTGGACTAAAGGATAAAGCATGCTCTACAGTCAGCAATGTCCCAAGATCAGGTGACTGAGCTAAGCCTTCTCTACATAGAAAAATGAGAAACTGAAATTTACCCATTTTAATGATGTCATTGCTAAGTTGGCCTCCAAAAACACTTGAAGGAAACTGTTCTGACTTTGTATATAGTGTAATGTTATAACATAGCTATGATTCCCTTATGAATGTTCTGTGTGAACATCTTCATTAATGCCATACTTTTGCAGAAACGAGCCAGAAGGGGCCTCCTGAGCCGTCTAGTCTGACCCCGGCTCCAGCCGGCTTCACTCATGACATGCCCACCATTTGCCTGTCCAGCCTGTCCTTGAAGGCCCCCATCCTTAGCATGTGCAAGGGCAGGGCATGGCTGGCTCCTGGCTTTGGGGGGCCCTTGGACAAGGGACCCTGCACAGGGCCCTCTCGCTGCTGCAGCTCCTCTCCTGCTCCTCTCCCCACAGGACCCCTGATGAGGTGTGGGCCTTTGCCAGTGCCCCAGCGTGCTGAGCCTTGGCACCGGCACTGCACGAGGCCATGGACGCTCCTTAGCCCCTGGTGGCCCTGGCCTTAATTCTTCGCCCCGGACTCAGCCCAGGCTCAGATCAAGCCCAGGCCTTGTGTGCCACCCCCGTCTGGGGGCTGCGAGGGCCTGAAAGGCCATCTCCCAACTATAACGAGCGACTGGGTACCCACGTCTTTCCATTCCCTGCTGCAGAATGTCTGAATGGTAACTTTGACGGTGTCCAGCGGCTTCGTCTTGGTCAGGTTCAGGAAGTAGAAGGTGTAGTAATAGGCAGAAAAAGCCTGGATAGTTTACAATTTAAAAAACCAAGAGAAAAACAAGGATTATGGAAGCAGAATCAACCACGGAGTTTTCCTCTTGCAGCACCAAGCAGGTGCAGGTAAACAGCAACCGTAGGTGTTGGGGGACCAGGTGTCTTCTTTTCTAGGGGCAAATACTGGTAACATCCAAACATTTATTTATTTATTTATTTATTTATTTATTTATTTATTTATTTATAAGATTTATATTGCATCTAATACCAAAGGTCTCAAGATGGTGTTACAATAAGCTGCACCAATAAATAGAATCTAAATATATGATAAAAGCCTTAATTAAAACTACATTCTACCTTAAAATATCAGAAAAATAGAAAGGGGTTGGCCTGGCATCGGAATATGGAAAGCCTCGTTGCCAGGTGCACCTTTCTGATGAGCAGGTTCCAGAGCTGTCGTTTCTGCTTTTCATGAAATGGGGCTGCATCTCAACAGAAACGTAAGAGGCCTCTTCTAGCATAAACAGTGCAGGGAGTAGATGAATTTTCTGACACCCAGCATTGATTTCAGAACAACTCCTTTTCCGTGGCCCCTGACAAAACGTGGGCTCTTGACAGGGGTCCAACCAGGCCTTGGTGCCACCTTCACCCACCCCCTCCCATCCCCGCTCCCTCTCAGTCCAGGAGGAGCTGGATTATCAGAGCGATGCAGCAGTGGAACCAGCTGCCTGGAGAGGCGGGGGGCTCTCCCACACCGGAGACATTCAGAAAGAATCTGGACAGCCCTCCGAGTGGGATGGTGTGAACTGGTGTCCTGCAACAGCAGGGGGTGGACTTGATGGCCTTCATGGCCCCTTCCAACTCTGCTCTTATCTAATTCTATGATTCCAGGGCCCCAGGCAGGCCAAGATCTTGCTGCTGCCAGAGCGCAGGACACGGCATAATCAGTTCAAGCTGCGACAAGCCAGATTCAGGCTGGGCATCAGGAAAAGCTTCCTCACTGCCAGAGCAATGCGGCAGTGGGACCAGCTGCCCGGAGGGGTGGTGGGTGCTTCCACACTGGAGGCATTCAAGGAGAAACTGGGCAGCCACCTGAGTGGGATGGTGTGAACTGGTGTCCTGCACCAGCAGGGGGGTGGACTCGATGGCCTTCATGGCCCCTTCCAACTCTTCTATGATTCTAAGAACTGGGAATCTCCCCTACCAGGAATTTTCCGTTGACCTTGGGCTGATAGACCCCATTGAGACCACAGGATCCATTGTAGCTGCAGCTGGAGGAGTCAAAGGTCTTCCGGAAGGTTTCCCGACACAGGGTGGCATTCCCAGTGCCTACCAGGGTCACGTTCCACAAGAGCAGAGGCGGCGCCAGATGCTTGGCACATGGACTGTCGTAGAGATCAGAGATCACGATGGACTCATTGTAGCCCACCGGGTAGCACGGGTGGTCAATCCTGGCGGAGGAGCTGGAATTCTGGAGAGAAGAACCACAGGCGAAGCTGCAGCAGCCATAAACCGAACCGCAGGTGACTCTGCGGCGGATTTGAGGTGGGTCCACCTCCAGGGTCCCCTGCCCAAGTGATGCGTCTGTGATGACCAGGCAGTGCTTCTTGGCCGGGCCCGGGATTTTCCTTCCGCTAGAGGCAGGGGCTCCACAGAGCAACAGGCTCCACATGTGGGGGGTTATTCAGCCGCATTTTTGGGAGCTCCCCCCAGATCGGGAGGGCCCCCCGGCTCTGTGCGGTTTCCAGCCACTCGGACGGCTTCTGCAGGTGTGAGAGCACCCCTCTTACCACGAGAATCCGGATGGCTTGCTTGAGGACCTGGTTCTGCCCGTAGCACAGGTAGCTGTGGGTGTAGATGGCGTAATCGAACCCGTACAGTCGGAAGTGCACGGCTTCGGCCGGGTCGGCAATGTGGCCAGACGGGACAAAGCTAATCTGGGTTGAGGCTCCCCCGAGATCCAGTGCTCCCCGGATGCTGGCTGAGCGCGGGTGGATCCAGTCTCGGCTTTTGGCAGAATACTGCAGGGACAGAAACCACAGGGTATGGGGACCACCTCTGCCACCTGCACCAGAGCAAGAGAGAAGGAGGTGACCAAGCAGGGGACGCCACGCTTTCCACCGGATCGTGGCTTCCAGGAGACTTCCCTCAGCCTTCCACTGCCCAGGGCCCTCCAGATGGGTTGGACTACAACTCCCATAATTCCCAGCCACTGGCTTGGCACAATGGGAGTTGGAATCCAACACACCTGAAAGATTGGAGAAGGTCAACTGACATTATAAATAATTTGCGGTGGTCAAGAGGGCGAAAGCCACCCTTGGATGCATAGCCAGAAGCGTGGCTTCTAGATCGAGAGAGGCGTCACTGCCACTCTATACGACTCTGGTGCGCCCACAGCTGGAGAAGTGTGTGCCGTTCTGGGCCCCTCATCACAGGAGGGATATAGCCAGGTTGGAGTCAGTGCAGTGAAGGGCCACAAGGTTGGTGGCCGGTTTGCAGGGGATGCTATGTGAGGCGAGACTGAGGGAACTGGGTCTCTTCAGCCTGGAGAAGAGGAGACTCCGAGGGGATCTGTTGGCGACATGCAGGTATGTGAGGGGGTGTCACACGGAGGTGGGTAGAGGCCTGTTCTCCCCTGCAGAGGAAGGCAGGATGTGCTCCAACAGAGCAAAGCTCAGGGAACCCAGGTTCCATTTGGATGCCAGGAAGCACTTCCTGACAGTCAGGACCCCGAGGGTGGGAATGGGCTTCCCCGGGAGGAGGTGGAGGCCCCACTGGTGAGGGGTTCAAGGCTAGGCACATGGTAGGCCTGTCATGAGAGCAGCCGGGAGTCAGACTAGATGGCCCGGGAGGCCCCTTCTGACTCGCTCTGTTTCTATGTTTCTATATATAGAATCTCCTCCTGTCTTGAAATCTGTTTGTTCTGATATCATTTAAAAAAACTGCAAGTTGTCCCAGGGTCCCTCGTGGGTCACAGACTACCCATAGACAGCTTGCAAAAGAATTAGGTCTTTTCCCCCACGAGGCTGAGCATTGCCCTCCCTCACTTTGAAGGGCTTGTGCAGGGCATCCGCGGGCGAGTTCACACCCCACGCCAAGCCCACTCAGGGCTGGCTGCACCCGCCTCACCTTGGTAAAGGATTCCAGCAGATAGTTGATGGTGATCCAGCCATAAGCACCTTCATCCTCCCCGGTAATGATCCGAGCGCCTCGAAAGCTCACCGGGTATTTCTGGATGGCCTTCCCGACCGCCTCCAGGACCTGCGCGGAGGCCGTCGCATTCTTCTTCCTGGGGCATCAATGAAAGATCAAATGAATATCTGTGGGGCTCATTTGGGGCTTAGGGTTGTGCCTTGCTTGCTGCACTGGATCACTTTTAATCGAGAGGGGCAAAATCCCTTCCTAAGGTTGCCTATTTCTGCAACAAGACAACCTGGATCCCGCAACCTGTTGTGCAGTGCAGCCTGGCTTCTGAATCCTTGGTCACGTCTCACAAAATTTATTCAGTCCTGAGAGTTGCTGAAAGGGGGCAAGCATTTATTTATGACATAGGGCCATAGTCTACGCTTTTGAGCCTTAAGTGGTTGCTCAGCCCCAGCCTCTGGCTTCTGAGCCCCCCTCAAACATATTTTCCAACTTTAAGGACTAGAAACTTACTCCTTAAAGAAGCATGGCAAATGGAAGCAATTCTATGCATGCTCCAGCAGACAACAGTCCTTTAGCTCCCAGCATTCCCCATAAGACTGTGTCATTCCTTTTTTTTTTAAATAGGAAAAATGATAAGGACTAGAAACATTTTTCTGACTCTGGTTTCATTCTATTTTAAACTTTCAAAGGTTTTACACTATTATGTTTAAGTTGTATTCAAGGGCTGCCATTTTCGTGAGCTGTCGGGGTGTTTGGCTGTTGTGCAGGATAGAAATTCAAGTCATTCACTCAGGATGCAATCTTATGGTACCCTGACATTTATTTTATTTATTTATGCTTTCATTTATATGCCACATACTACCATGGTCTCACGGCTGTGAAAGCTGGACCATAAGGAAGGCTGAGCGCCGAAGAATTGAGGCCTTTGAATTGTGGTGCTGGTGGAGACTCCTGAGAGTCCCTTGGACCGCAAGGCGATCAAACCGATCAGTCCAAGAGGAGATCAACCCTGACTGCTCTTTAGAAGGCCAGATCCTGAAGATGAAACTCAACTACTTTGGCCACCTAATGAGAAGGAAGGACTCCCTGGAGAAGAGCCTGATGCTGGGAATGATGGACGGCAAAAGAAGGAGGGGACGGCAGAGGATGAGGTGGCTGGATGGGGTCACTGGGGCAGTTGGTATGAGCTTAAGTGGACTCCGGAGGATGGTGGAGGACAGGAAGGCCTGGGGGAATGCTGTCCATGGGGTCCCGATGGGACTAACAACCTATAACCACAACCGCGGTCTCAAGGGGGATGCCTGCAGGGGGTGGGGGGCAGGGTTCTTCAGAGCCCAGCTCCGAGGCAAGGGCCATCTAGATAATATCCACGCCAGCACCAGGTGCATCCCGGGCAGGACCACTGCATCGCACTGCACCTGAAATAAACGCTGAATAAACAAACTGAAATGAGACCTTAGGCTGAGGCCTCGGTTTACGATCTGGGCTCCCCAGTCATGAGCGCCAGGCACGACCCCTGGGCAGGGTCCAGTTCTTGGTCGGTGTACCTGAGAAGCCTCATGCCAGCCGTCGCCCCCAGGTAAGCCGGTGTCTCGAGCTGCCGTTCACGAGGGATAACTGTCATGGCCTCATCCAGGCACTTGCGGAGGGAAGCGCCCGCTTGGGGAGGGTTGTCGGCATAACTCGAGATCCCAGGCCCTGAAGCGCAAGCCCCAAAGGTTACTCTGTGCTCACGAATGCAGTTCTGCCCACATTTTCTTAATTGGGCTGTTTCAAACCTCACGGCAAGCCTCTCCCAACCTCCCAGATTGGTGGGCAGGTTTGAAAGACTAGGAGGGCTGTAGCCACTCTCACAAAATGGCGGCCGTGGGGGTGGAGCTTGCCGGTTCCCAGAACAGTGGCCATGTGGGCTGGCCATGACCCACGCATTTCCCAGAAGGCAAACTGGGAGGCAAGAAGAAGCATAGAAACAGAGCGAGTCAGAAGGGGTCTCCCGGGCCATCTAGTCTGACCTCCGGCTCCAGCCGGCTCCGCTCACGACACGCCCACCATGTGCATGTCCAGCCCGGAAAAGTAACTTGCCCCAGAGTAAAGTAACTTGCCCCAAAACAACCAAGAGTGGCAGGGAATCTGTCGGGGACTTCCATGGGCTCCACACCGAAAACCCCAGAAATGCCTCTTTGGGCATTATTTTCTCAATCTCTCTTTCTGGACACATTTCTCAGTTGGAGAACTCCATTGTAAAGGTCAGGAATGTGATGCCTGAAGGATCACCGCATTTTGGCTTGCAAGCACCGGCCTCCCAGGGAGTCTTGGCACCAGCAGACTCCCTGGGTTAGTTTTATTTTATTTTTTATTTCATGTGCTGCAAACACAGCTGCAACTGGGAGGCTGGCCTGCTGCGAAAGGCGGTCCTGAGCGCCAAGAGCATCTTTAATTGGGCGCTGTAGAAAAGTCTGGCGCTCGCTTTGGAGTGCAGCCCTCTGCTTCTGCCTCAGACTTTGGTTCTTGGGCAAGTGATCTTCCTCTCAGTCTTGCCAGTTTTCTCCTGGGAAATGGGTGTTCTGGCAGCCCACTGTGGCCGCCGTCCCACCGCTGGGCAAGCACCTCCCTTTCGCCACGAGTGCCAAACTTGCCCAGTGCCCCAAGGCCTCCAGCGGCCTTCCAGCTCCTGCCCTGGTGCATTTGAGGGTAAGCAGCAAACCTGACCGTTGACGTGACAGGAGAACGTTTGGCTGACGACGCCTGTGTTGTTCTCTTTGTCTGTCGGCCACTGGTAGATGAACAGCGAGGTGTGCGACGAGCCCGCATCAAACACCAGTCCGTACTGGGGGAAAGACCCGCGAAGGAAAAGATCAGCTGGGAAAGTGCTGACTCGGCTAAAAAGGGCTTTGCAAAACATGAGCTGCTGGATCCAGCCAAAGACTTGCAAGACTTCAGCTGCTCTGCCCGTCCTGCTGGGAGAAGCTCCCCAAGGAATTCGGTTCTTCAGTGTCCTTTGCAAGTTACTGGGGTGACTTCAGATGGAAAGAGATGGGGGTGTGAGTGGCAGCCATTGCCTCCTATGCATTCCACATTTCCCTCATGCCCAAAATGAAATCCGCATAGCACTGGAACGGCCTTCTCCCCTCCCTCAAACACAAAATTACATCATTTGCTTTCTGAAGACCACCTACCCAAGCAATTCTTGACTTGCTTACTCTGAAGTATTGCCCATTAAGTCCAATGGTAGTTACTCTCCAGCAACAGTGCCTATGGACTGGGGCAGCAGAGGAATCTGTTCAGTTCATATTTTAATGCAGATTCATTCATACTTCCATAATTTCATACTTTCAAACCCTACATGAACCAAAGCAGAGTTACTCTTCGAAAGCGGCACTTCTCTGAAGGTTGTGAGGGAGCCCTCCAGGTAAAACAGCGCATACAAATGTGCATGCATTAGGAAAAAAATGGTCAAAACGCATCATTTTAGAATCGCTTGCCAAAATATGGATAGTAGGCAAGATGCATCCATATGAAGAGAAGTAGTTAGGCATTTCCAGGCAAACTCTGGAGCATGCAAACCTTCAGACTGGGAAAATTCACAGCGTTCCAAGTGAACAAAATTTGAGATTGGAAAAATGAGAAATGGAGATTAAGTGAAATTGAGAGACTTGTTCATCCCTCGTAGATATGTAAGAAAATTATCTTGCCTCGACTGTGCCAAGAAAAACTGGATCCTGCAACCTAAATTAATAATTCGAACAAAAAAGTGCACCCTTATTATTTGGATGCAGCACGGAGCTATACAGCAATGAAGCCATCATCCATATTTTTGAGATCTCAGCAGAAATAACCAGCATGCTTTGTAAGCCGTTCGTCCCGTTCCTGTGGGCTAGAAGCTTGCTCTGTTTCCAGCAAAAGCTTGGCATGCTCACCTTGTTTCCTGCAGGTTGCATGACATTGTGGATTCCCACCAAGCTGAGGATCAGGGCCGTGAGAGAGAAGATCCCCAGAAGCAAGAGGGCTGCGGGGAGGTACCAGTTCTTCCATTTAAAAGCCATGTCTATAAACATAAAAACAAGGATTTCCTCGATGGCACTGTATGCCAGAGGAGTGGACGCTCAGCCTGCAAGTCTAAGTTGGCCCACCCAGCCGGGGTCCCAAAGTCCCTTGTGGCGTTCTTAGTCCTTCCAAAAAGCATTTAAACTGACCGTCACATCTCCCTGGAACGAAGCACCTTCCCAGTGAGGTTTGCTAACTGCATTTCTTCACGGATAGTTCTCAAGAATTTCAATCAAGCAAACAAAAATTAAACTGAAAAACTGCATTCCAGAGTTGACTTTTGAGGTTTAACGAGGAGACTGGGGTGCGTGTTTACATCTCACCGTTCTGCACTTCCAGATCTGTTCGCTCCAGTGGTGTTTGCCTACAACTCCTATTATCCCCCATCTTGGTGATGCTGGTGAGGGCTGGTGGGTATTGTAGTACCCACCAGCCTGGGGGACCACCACCAGCCCAAGTCTGGTTAGCTGAATGCCAGCAGAAGTCCACATTCTCAATCTTTTCAATATAAGACTAAGGAAAGTCAACCGAACTTCAACAAAATGGAGCTGTTTGCAGGGCCCCCTGTTCAGGACACCAGCCAGACATGACTCCTCTGGGGACGGCCGTCCTATTCTGCCCTCCGCCCCAATTTCCCGGTGTGCCCCCAGTCGCTCCCACAAGTCACTTGGCACCCCATACCCCTGGGGATGTCTATCTTCATGGGCTCTTTTGGGATCTGCTCTCCTTGGGATTTTCCCAGTAAGGATCTCATTTGTGCTTCCGCAAGATCGGGGCTCATGCCGTCTTCCGGCCGTCTCCACTCCATGCATGGGTGCTGCCTAAGCGACCGAAGCGTCAGATACGGAGGGAGCAAGGCGAAACGTGGAAAGTTGCAGTTCTGCCCCTGGATTTAGGCACAGAGGTGCCCGGGCCTAGGCCAGAGGTGGGGAGCATCTCTCAGTCTGGGGGTGGAATTCTGTCTTGGAGAATCTTGCCGTGCCCAGCGGTGCCGAACGCAAGAGCGCAGGCCCAAATTTCGCAGGGGGAGCCAGAAGACCAAAGCTGCAGCTTAACGTTCTTACTTCTTGCTATTAAGCCCTGGGAGCTGGGACAAAACAGCGCAAAAGCTGGGAACCCACCAAACAGCAATGGTTGTGGGAAAGGCCAGGGGAAGCGGTGCGACTGGGGCACCCCAGAGGCCTGAATCTGGCTCCCAAGGCTCTCCCGGGAGAACCCAAACTCCTAACACAGTGGCGTGTACTCAGCAGCCCTCTGCAGGCTTTTAAGCAAAGATTTCTCAATTTTCACAACTGGGAATCACCTGAAATGTGAAACGCGCTGCAGGGTGGGGGAGTGGAGCTTTGGCTGGCTCAGCACGGGAAACAAACAATTACATGGATCGTTAATGACTCCCCTGTGTAACAGAAAACCCACATGGTATGAGAACCTTCAGGTTATGGGGTGGTATCGAAGAGGAATTCCGTCAATAATCAGGCTGACACCTCGTTTCAGGGCTGACACCTCCAGGGCTGCAGGGATCCAGAAATCCAAGCTTGTCGGAGCTCTGACTGGGGCAAGAGGATGGCACCGAACAGACAGGTCTGCGAGGCCGCCCGTGGCGCTCACGGTCTAGGGGCAAGTTCTGGCCGAGATGCTCCGCCCTGGGCACAGAAGCATCGCGCGAGGAAGAACAGGAATGAAGAAGAAGCGGGAGGCCACGTTCTTTGAGAAGAGCTGCAGGAAGGGTCCGGCTCGCTCATCTCCTTCAGTTCAGCCAAGAAAATAACATTTGGGCTCTCAGCCTGGCAGGGAAATTCACGGGCCCCTGGACAGCATCAAGGCATCCTATGACCTGCAGATTCCCAGACTGCAGAAGACCTCTGAGCGGGGGCTCGGATCGCCCCTCCCCCTCCCCTCGCTGCCTCCGCAAGCTCGTGGGAGCAACTTTGGAGCAAAGGGGGCATCCTGGGGCAGGTAAGGGAGGGGAACCGGGGCTCCCGCTTGCTTGCCCCGCAGGCCGGGAGCTGGCGGGCAAATCGGCCGGAGCACCTCCGCTGTCCCGATCAGAGCAGCAGGGTGCTGCGACAGGGAAGGGTGTGGGGGCCCCGGGGTTCCTGGCTCTGGTCCACAGGGCCCTGCTGGACGGGTCCTGTCACCCCAAAGCACCGGCGCCCTGCACCAGCGCCCCCCCACACACAGATACAGCGGTGCGCACACACTCGCAGGAGAGGCCCGCTTCGTATGCCTTCTGGTGTTCCACAGATGGAGACCATGGCCGCCTCGGCCCGCCGCTCAGGCCACCACACCCATCCCGCCCCGCAAGAGGCTCTCCAGGAAATACGTGGCTCTTCGAGTTAAACTTATACCAGCGCAAAGAAAGGGCCCCTGGTAAGTTGGCACCGGTCCAGAGCGGATCTCGCCACTGCGAAGGGGCAGGCTTGCATCCAACGCGGCCCCTTCACTCTAAGGGGTGTGCGTCTGTGGATGTGGCTGCCGGTTCTCTGGCCCTCGCTCTCGTCCTCACACGCACCAGCCGCTTCCTGAGCAGGTGTCAAATGCGTCTTTCTCTTAAGGGCTGCATTTGCTCCCCAGAGCTCTGTCTAGGCCTGCCTGCGGAACTGAATCCAGCCAGGGCTGTCAACAATTGCCAGTGTTGCCTAGTGGTTAGAGGGCTGGACTGAACATGGGAGAGCTGGCTTCTGCCCCCCTCCCAGCCCTGAAGCTCCTTGAGTGACTGCGGTCAGTCCCCAACTCTCTGCATAACCTACCTCACAAGGCTGTTGTTGTGGGGATGAAAAGGGAGAGGAGGAAGAGCAGCTTGTCTGCTGCCTTGGGTTCCCTGCAGGAAAAATACACTTAAAATCCATGCACATGGTCAGGGGCAACGTGGCCAGAACCGGCCCTCCCATGAGGGAGCCTGGAGCCCAGGTGGCACAGCAGGAAGAGTGGGCTGCATTCCTCCCACCGCCAACCCTGCAGCTGCCTCCTCCTCCTCTTCCTGCAGGTGGTCCAGAGAGCCCCAGCATTGGCCAGTGTAGCCAGCAGGGCCCTCCTTAGCCAGCCATGCAGAGGCCTGGGGTGCCTCCTCTGCCGGACTCCTCCCCTGAGAGGGAGCGAGTGCTTCCAGAAACACAGAACGATGCAGGGTCTGGAAACACTGCCCTGTGAGGAGAGACTGGGAGAACAGGGCACTTCAGCCTTGAGAAGAGAGGACTGAGGGGGGACATGGTGCCCCTCTATAAGTACCGCAAAGGCTGTCATAAGAAGAAGGTCAAGATCTCTTCTTGCTGATGCCAGAGCGCAGGTCACGGAATAATGAATTCAAGCTGCGACAAGCCAGATTCAGGCGGGACATCAGGAAAAGCTTCCTGACTGCCAGAGCAATACGGCAGTGGAACAGCTGCCTGGAGGGGTGGTGGGCGCTTCCACACTGGAGGCATTCAAGGAGAAACTGGACAGCCCTCTGAGTGGGCTGGTGTAAACTGGTGTCCTGCAGGGGGTGGACTCGATGGCCTTCATGGCCCCTTCCAGCTCTGCTCTTCTATGCTTCTATGAAACAGGGCACCCATGGGATGCAACCTGTGGGAGCTGCCCCCCCCCCCCCGGTGGGATCAGACCCTCTGTGGTCTGCCCTGCAGTGGAGATGGGCCCTGAGGGTGCCATCGCCCCAAGGCCAGCGGGGCTCCCTCGAGAAGAGGCGGCTGATTGGCGCAGGCCCTCCAAAGCGAGCCCCACTTCACGACTAGGGCTTGCCCGATGGCTGTGGGGACCTGCAGCGCAAGCCAAGCCAATGCCGGAAACAGCCCCGGTCTCCCCAGTCCTGCCTGGGGACTGACCCTCCCTCCTCCTGAGCCCGGAGTCTATCTCTGCATCTGGACTGCACGGTGGCGCTTTCCGTTTGCTTGCATCCTGTGCCTGAAATGGATCCCTACCAGATTTAACCATCATGTCTGAAGCATTGCTTGTTTCGTTGCCATTCCTTTTGGATCTACTCTGATGCACCATCCCAGGACCAGCCCTGAGGGTCCGACATTCCCTCTGCCTCATGCCATGACAAGAGAGCGGCTGCCCTGACGGTCCTTCGCTCTGAGCCAGAAGGCGCTTGCATGGGAGTCCTAGAAAACCGTGCCAGGACCACAGCACCCACCCGAAGGATCAGGATTAATCCCTCTGGGACCCCACGGCTGTCCCAGGCCTTGCTCGCTGCTTCCTGCCCAAGTGGCTGGCAATAAGCCAGCCCCTGCAGACGCGGGGATGCCTTTCAGCTCTGCAGACAAAGGGGGATTAACGTGTTGCTCTTGGCAGCCCAGCCGGGTTTCCTGGTGCGGCTCAGCTGGAAGGAGCCGAGAGGCCTGCGCTGAAGCAAGATAAATATTGGGCAGCGCAGGGGCAGGGAGTGCCCACCTCTGCTCCATGAGAGTGCTTCTCTCCCCACGCTGCACTCTCTCTGCCCACTGGCTTTGCCGGGTGCAGGGAAGCTGTGTCTGCTGAGACTGGGCCTGGTGACGGCAGCGGGCCAGGAAGCAACGCTGCTTGCCACAGCGGGAGTTGCCAGCCCGGCCACAGAGAGGAAGGGCCAGCCTGACTCTCAGGGAAGCTGTGAGCATGACGGTACAGCTGGGGTGAGAAAACTATGCATGGTGCCTTGAACTTTTGGGAGCGATATGGATCAGTCTAATCTGATCAATGAAGCACAAATTAATCAATTAATGGTTTCAGTCTCAAATCAGTTATTTTGTACTATAGCAAGCACATCTAGCTTTGCACAGGTTGGAAAAATCCTAGTTTGACACGACGATTCTAGCAAAGACACACTGCAAAGTCAGCCTTAAGGAAGCCCCCTCTCCACTGGTATGCTTTGGGCAGCATTGGGGACTACCCATCCCATGATCCCCTGAGAAGAGGTTCTGCTACAGCAGTGGGAAGGCCTGCAGCTTCGTCTGTCAAACTGCTCCCTCCCAGCTTTAAACTATATCAAAGCAGTGCACCATTTAGGGAAAGCAGCCACCTTGGGATCAA